GCACCGAAGACTCTTTCATTGCGCGACGTTTGCCGCGGGGTGTCTCAACTGATGGGGTGCGAGTGCCGGTGACGCGGTCGATGTAACTTAAGAGAAACGGTGAGTGACACAATCGTGATGAAAAGATGGCACAGCAGCATGCAACACCGCGAGCGCAGCAGCCTACACAGGCCCCACACTCACGTGCCACATGTGCTGTCGCGTGGCCTGATGGCACGACCTCGCCAGAGAATACACACTTAGTGTATTGTTATCACCACGCACAGCATGCCAGCATGGTCTCCTAGTGCTTGACAGTGTAGCAGCACTACGACGCTGCACGGTATAGCACTCCGCGCACGTAAACGCGTTAGTACCCATACGCTCGCTCAGCAGAGCAGAGGTAAGATTTTGCGTACAGTTCCGCACGGACACGAATCAGATGAATGCGAAATGTGTCGTATACGGTAGATGGATGCGGGGCGTTGACGGCGACCGTGTGACTTTGGCCGGGATGTTCCTCATTTATAGTGCGGCAGCGGCGCGGCGGGTGAGTTGCAGCGAGGTAGAGTCAACAGCTAGCAAGTTCCATGGTAGGCACTGATCAGCTTCACTTAAGTTATAGTAATAATATATAATTAAAGAGTATATAAAGATAATTAAGGTAAGATAAAAGAAATATAATATAATATAAGATAATAGCCCGCATACAGCACGCGCAGCGCACTGCAGCACCGCACGCACGCACGCTACACACCACACGACACACACACAGCACACCCAACCAGTAATAAAAGACTTAAATTAAACGCGATACGCTGAAACACGAACGACACATGCACTCAACCACAACGCTCGGCGTAGCACGCTACACACGCGTGCACGCTACATGCAGCGTACAAATAACCATTCACAGCCTGAGCGGTATTTCTCTGCCGGCTATCGTAGATTTCAGGCGAGATGCCATCTGTTACGTAAGCGTCCTACATTGTCATTCGATATCATGATCATTAAGGCCTTCATTCGCGTCTATTCGGCAATTGTAATTACTGCAGTGTTAGTAGACGGCGGCATCCATTCAGGCGTAAATGATGGAGGACAGACGCGAACATATCGGCCTAGCCGCGGGATACGCGTGACAAATAATCGTATCGTCATCTCGGCTAATTTATAATGCTCTTACCCGTGATAGGTGAAAAGTCTTTTTGAACGATTTCATCGCACTGCGCAGTTCCGTTTGATTGATAAATATCTTCGTGCAGGCCGGCCAGCTATGTTATTTGAGCAGGAGATGAAGCACTGGATGACTCTTATATGTGCAATATGCGCCAAGATATAACCGGCTTCTTGGAAAGTATGCTATGCGTGTTGTGATAGGTGCAAACACTTTTCGTAAGGCTGAAAAATTTTTTTCATGGCCAGAAAATTCAGCTAGGTGTGCCCGTGGCGTTAGTAGCTTTTGCAACTATAGAAATCCTGCTTTTGCAACATTGTCGTGTTTATCACATATCTTATTCACTCACCGGTCCCGAAGCGCGGAGCTGACGGAAACCGTAGCTTGAGCGGCGATCGCTGGCTAGCCGGAAGGGCAATTTCATGATCTAACAAGTAATGACAAATGGAATATTTTTTTTTACGATTTGAAGAAAAACTTTATGGGGATCCAATTCGGTCGAAGAGCACAATTTTGTTTCTATCGATTTTTAATTTCAAGATTAATTACGTTATTAAATTAAGAACATTTAATTATTTTAATAATTTCTAGAAAGAAGACGCCTTTTTTACGTCTTGGGAAAAGGTATTTTTAATCTGCAAGTCAGTAGTACCTGTATGCGCTCTCTACGATAGAGACGAAAATTTATTGTTATTGTAATTTTAAGCAAAAATTTATTTTGCTGGCAAATGCTGGGCATGCACGAACACAGATATGAACGCTAGGCTAGAGTATTAGAATAATTGGGAGGATGTCGTCTCCACAGAAGTAACCCGAAGTACTGTGATAGTCCAGTTCTCTATCAAGCTACTCCTGTGTGATTGGTTTCTCATGTATATACAAATACTTAACATTTCGGTTTGACAATACGGCGCATGCGTGGCACGATTCCTGATCCTATCACAG